GTAATTATCAACTAAAGCAAAGGCAAATATTACCAGAGTTGAAAGAGACTGAGGACAGTCTAGAGGTCAGACCTTGCTTGACCTAAATGATGGGTTTTCTTAGAACAATGTTGAATGGTTGTCTTCTGTGCTAACCCCCACTTCCGTGGCCATTGCATGTGCAATTCTGTGCTGGTAAAGGGCATGGGCTTTGAACTAAGTTACTTATAATTCAATTCACTGTTCTGGAACATATCTGTGAGTTTTTATGTAACTCACTAAAGCTCTTGGAGACTTACTGTCTTTAGCTGTAAAATAAACCTCCCAATACATGCTTTGGAGAGGTGTTGTTTTTAAACCATATTAAAAAGAACTATGTTTTTATCTCTTTACTATCCTGAAACTCCACTAAAAGGAGAAAAAATGAATTTGAAACAAAAAGAAAGTTATAAATCACAAGAATAAAAAGAAAAAAAAAGGCAATAATTGCAGACGTGAGCAATGGATGTGTTCTTGTGAAGTGGAAGTTGACTTGTACAGAGTGAGAAAGCTCCAGCCAGGCAGGCCACGTCGAGCTGAAGGCTTGGACTTGGAAGTGGGGCATGAACTACAAAGAGGAGAGAGGGTGAACAATCTTTACCAAGTGCACTTACTTTCTTCCATTCCACGCAGCAAGGCAACAGCTTCTTCCCAACCTCAAGAGGGTGAGAGATTCACAAAGAACAAAACAGTGGAAAAAAAACATACAAAAAAGATGATCAGCTCAGGAGTATGTCTGATCAATAGAAGTTTTCAAAAGAGAAAACAGAAAAAGATAGAGAAGATAAAATTAAGTTGTGAATTAAAAAAATCATACACACACACACACACACACACACACACACACACCTCCTCTGGGCACATCACTGTTTTCTGTCCCAAGGTAAAATGTACCTGAGGCCTCAAGGACATCATCTTCAGAGTGTGATTCAGAAAGCAAAGTTCTTGTCCCATGGCGGGATTTTGTTTATCAAACTAGTGCTTTGTGGTTGGAGTGCCCAGGGAACAATGTATTTTTTTCTGATGTTAGATATTTGAGATGAAGAGAATATACAAAACAAAAAAGCTTCTTTATAGGACGGCTATTCTTACCATAGAAATTCATTTGAACGAAAAGTCACTTTCTGTATAAAATCGTGTGCAAAAAATGGCTTTGGAGTCCAGAGTGGGTGTAATTCACAAGTACAATAGACAGGAAACCTACAGAGGACTGCAGGTACTATAGGTATGGAGAAGTGAGCTGTGAGAGAGTTGGTTTTTTATTTCCTTAGATTTAGAGGAAGGAGAAGTTGCAATGGAACAGGAAAAGTGATGCAGAAGAAGGAAAAAGAGCTAAGGCAGGAAGTGGGGAGGGGTGGGTACTTTGGAAGTCAGCAGCTGGAAGGTGCAAGACTGCAGGGAGGTTGCCCAGGTCAGACGTCGCAGGTCTGGAATGCCTTGGTAAGGGATCTATCTAAACTTCTCCTGTTGGTCCCCAGAAACCATCGACTATAAACAATGAAGAGGGGTGATTCCCATAGTGATGTGCCAATTTGAAAGTATGCTTTGGCAATGTTTGTTCTCTTTTCCATTCTATTTGCAAAGTTTTACGGTGTTATGTAGCACTGAGGAGTGTCCCAGACATCTTAAGCCAAACTAAGCCAACCTAATCCCCTTCAGGGTTAACAGAGACCTTGCCCTTGATCCTGGGAGTGCCACCAAATAGACCTCATCTGTCAACCTCCACTGGGGTTGCCACAGATTCAGAGTCAACGTTTCCCCCTAAGACCATGATTCTTTTCTCCCAACCATATCAAATAATTAACTTGTACAAGCATGTGAGCGCTCTGCCTTCTCTCCAACCCAAAGAACAGGGCATGAAGTATTTTACAAGTCTTTTACTAGATGGAGGGAAGTGACACATCAATTGTGAGTAATAAATACTGAGGACCTACCTATATGTATGTGTGTGACTCAAATTCTTGCAAAGAACTAGTGCAAATAAAACCATTTCAAATGCTGCTTATTCTTTACTGTCACCTTCCTGTGTCCATCCACCCTTTCATCTCATTTTCTTCCTTCTCCTGACTACATCGGCACCCAAACACAAGCTAGGTGTTAGCTGAGAAACATGGCAAGGCTCTGCGGACTGAAAGGCGCTCAGAGCTTTGCCTGTCTCATTAAGTAGACTCTGTTTACATGCAAAGCTTTTGTGGTTTATTCATGAAAGACGACAGTGGAATGAGGTGAACCTGGCTGAAAGGAGATGCCGAACACAACAGGTAAGTTTCACTGAGATGGCAGGGCCTTGGGATGCCAGCCAAAAGTCCAGGTTTGTCAGAGTCGCTCCTCTTTTAGGGATATGTGATGGTGTAGAAATAAACACCTCCTGATGGATGGGACTGCCCAAACTATGGGAACCTCAGAAAAGCATTCAGCCTCTGAATTACCAAATTCACCTCAAACGGGTGGTCCACATACATGGCTTGATTCAACTTCCGTGGCACTGCTTTAGGTTTCTATGGTCCCTGTTGTGGACTATCCTTCCTTCTGGAAATCCCTTTTCCTGTGTCCCCGGCATCCACTTGTCCACAGGCTTCCTGCTGTCCTTTGCCCGCTTCTCATGTGCTATTTGTTTTTCCTCCTCTGTACCCTTTTCCTCCTTTCCTCATCTTATACATTTCCTGATGAGAAGTGATAAGTTTCTGAACAAGTGTAGAAACTGTGGGGATGAGGAACAGATAACATGTGAAGACGATGAGGCAGGAGTTATAACTCACTTGGATTAGACAGCAGGAAGCAGTCTCTGGCCTCCCACCTCTCCATCAAAGTGAGAAGGCCCTTGTGAAGATGCTACACCACTCTCCAAGTATCTCTGCCTGCCTCTGCCCTCACAGGATGTGCAAGTGGTGGTGATTGTGGACGTACATTTTTGTCTCTCTTATTGGACTAAGAAATGCTTGAGCATAGGAGTCATAACAAGAAAACTTTCCCCAGCAAATAAAGGAATAAATGTTTATAATCTATGTAGAGATTAATGTAGCAAAAGCCACATGTATTCCCCAGGATCCAATGCAGGTTCATGGTGTCAAAGTTCCAGTGGACCCTCACTGACCACAGAGCAAGTAGAAGCATTTCGGCAACTTCTTTAAGACTCTTCTTTACTCACAGCTGTTAATGCAGGGTGTTCTGGCTCTTAACTCGTACCTGAAGGATATGATCATCACTTACAGATCTAGCATCACATATACCACTAGCTGTTTGGTTAATAATGGGCCTAATGGCAGAAACTATGTAGCTCCAGCCACACAGGTGGGTTCCCTTTATCTCCTGAGATGCCCCCACTCATTCTCCAACTGTTCACATAGCACAAACCACACTGCTCAAGCCTCCTTTCCCATTGTATATCAACCACAGCCACAGAGCCCAACACCCTGGAAACACAATTGTACTTATTCACAACTGCATGTTTTCCAGTACCATTCAGTCATGTGCTACAAATGCCATCTGACTTTACCTTACTAATAACATGAAGTCTCCGGAGGGCAGAAAATGTGTATTCAAAACCTTTATATCTCTTCCTCTACTATTTCTTTCAATAGCGCTTCACACAGAAGATTCTCAAAGTAAATGACATGTACATTGAACCCTGCCACCCAAGGGACTGAAGCAGGAGGATCACAAATTTCAAGCTCTTCTGGACAACATGTTTACAAATTTTAGACCCAGTCTCAAATTCACACACACACACACACACACACACACACACACACACACCATGAAAACACTTAAGAAATATACGACCAACCAGTTTAAATTTAATTTTTAGATATTTTGTGTGGTGTATGTATGTAACAGTTTCCTAAGATGAATGTAATAAAAAATTTCACAAACATAGTAATTTAAAATAAATACTCTGCTAAAAATACTTTACATTTTAATGTCACACAGGTTTGGGAATCATTTTTCTTCCCAGTGTTAGAATGATGTACTTCAGGGTCTAAAAGTCTTGATTTATGTAAATCTAACCACCTAATATGAACACTGTCCAAATTCTTGGGGTGGAGGTTGGCCGGAAGACCTGCCTCCTACCTTACCACTACAGCTAATGTGTTTAAATTATGATAGTGGTCAGACACAACACTAAGGACAAACTTTCCAAGGCATCTCCTCCCATTCTGAATGTAGCTCAGATGACACCAGTCAATGAACATCATAGCTCCTCTAGCCAAAGATATTTCATTTTTCTGTATATATCCTGCACTGCTGCCTGCTTATTGAAATACTAGATACACCGACAATAAGCAGAACATTTTTTAGGAGGAAATGTACTCAAATTCCCTTCTTCCAATTAAGAATGCTGGTATCCTACCCTTGAAAAAAGGAAGTCAGAATTTCTAAAATCAAGGGGTTAGGGGAAAACAGAATTCTGTTCTGCCAAGCTCTGTACAGCATGGGATAGTTTTCTCTATCTTGTAACTTTGCTTTCACTAACTGTCTGGAACACAGCTTCAGAGAGCGGTGACCTGAGTTCCAAAGTGACAGTGCTTTTGCACGTAAGAGGTTGCCAGTAGGGCTTATTACAGTTCACTTCCAGTCTCAAACTAGGAAGTGCAGCTTAAAATGAGCTCAAAACAAAAGCAATCTAGCCTCAAAAAACAGAACCCACCAGACTTCAGAAAGACTCTGGGGGCTTAAATCTGGGATGGTTCTCTAGTTTAGATTAGAAACTCTGGCGTCCTGCCCATAAAACATCATTAAACTTTCAGAACAGCCAAAACAAAGTTAAAGGACACAGAACACACAGGCGTTTGCAGATACACAGACCCTATGTTCGCTTCCTTATCTAGACAGTCCACGCGTGGGTCAGATTCGAGTTAATAATCTCTCTCTGGGCTAAGGCAGGGCGGCCTGCAGAGGTGTCTAATTCTCCAGATTCTTGGAAACAAGAGTTGGGGCGGAGGCCGGCCACGCCCAGGTCGGATTCTCTGGTTGCACAACTGCTGGCTGCGTCAGGGCAAGTCAAAGAGGGAACCCTGCAACCTCTGCCCCCCACCCTTTCTGACCCACCAGGAACTGAGCAGAGCTCGGGCAGGGGAGGGTCACCGGGTGACGATTGGGGGCGGAGGGTGTCCAGAGTCAGAACAGCGACGGCAGGGGCTGCGGCGCGCAGTGGGCAGGAAGAGGAGGGCCCAGCGGGGCGCAGGCCGCGGGGCGCGGGCTCGGGCTGGGTCGGAAAAGCTGCCTCACGCCCTCCTTCCCTCCTCCCCCTTCCCTCCCAGAGCTGCCCGCCCAGCCTCCCTCCAGTCTCGCAGCTCCTTGCCCGAGGCTGCGCCCGCGGTGGCCTCGCCATGTCCCAGGCCGGCCCGAAGCCCGCCGCCTCTCCGCGGCCCCGGCGCGCAGCCGCCGCCCGCCACCCCGCGGAGGTGAGTGGCGTCCGGGTGCGGGCGCAAGGCTGCGCCCCTGTGCGGGAGAGGCGGGCCGCCTTCCTGGGGCGCTGCGGGACCTGCCCCCACCCCGTGCGCCCCTGCCGAGGCCGGAGAAGCGCCCAGGGCACAGTGTCCCCTGCCAGGCAGGTGGCACCAAGTGCCTGGAGGTTCTGGGGTCTGGATCCAGCGCGTTGGGCGTGGCGCGGGCTGGGTAGCGGGACGCGCGGTGCAAAGTTGGCTGGTGAGACGGGAGGGGAATGAGGATGTGTGTGAAGAGATACCCAGTTGCACTCAGTACCCCTAAGTGCAAGGGACTGACCCCTGAGACTGTGGGACCCCGCCTTCCGCAGGGCGCGGCTGCCTGCAGAAATAACACCTCTTTCCTAACCAGCCCGGAGCCAAACCGGGAGGGGCGGGGTCAGAAAGGGGCGGGGTCCATGTCCCTCCCCCCGTGCCCGCCCACCACTCTTCGCTCAATGCCAGCCGCGTGCCAGCCGGGTCCCAGCTTGGCGCGGGGTGAGCCTGGCGTCCCCAGCACGGCACCGCGCGCCCTCGCCGGTCCTCCGCAATTCCGAGCAAGACTGTTGTCGCCATGGCGTTCGCAAGCTGGTGGTACAAGACGGTAAATTGCAGCGGCGTGCCAGGGCGGGACTGGGAAGGGAGGGCATTTACTTTGCTTAACTCTTCAGGGCACAGAGACTAAATGCTGCCAGGCAGTTGGAGGGTAAGGGGTGGGCACCAGGTGCGACCCTCTCGAAGACCTTCGGTGAGGCTCAGGAGTGGCTGGAGACCCAGCTGGCACAGGCTGATCCGGTTCCCGGAGAGCAGATACCCCAAACTCGGATGGTGCTCACCAGTTGGGTGGAGAAGGAGCTGTCGCTGCCCCTCAACGCAGGAGATATCAATGCTCTGTACTTCGTTACTTTGCGTGACGTGCGAAAAATGTTCCATTTGTTTAGTGCCTTTAATGCTTCCCCTGACAATTAGCTGTGATAACCAGTCAAGCTGGCACTTGCTCTGCTTTGAAACCAGGAAGCATGACTTAACATTAGATTGCTTTCCAAAAAAGAGGGAAAAAAAACCCACAAACGTTTTGTTGATGGAAAGACAAAATATGTATGTCTCACTGATTTATGGTGAGAATCAAACCTTACGTGCACTTCTGTAGCACTGGAGAGGCAAAGTGTAGAGATAAGGCACTCTTTGGTAGTAGAAACCTTGTGTTGGAATCAGAAAGTTGTTACTTATCTGGTAATGAACATTTATTGAACGTCCACTTTGCATCGCGCAGTGTGCTAGCCTGCGTGTAGAGAGGAGAGCAGCAGAGTGTTCTCCAATGATAAGCTGTCAACTTTCTGAAACTCTTTCATATCTGCAAAAAAGGGTAACTCAACTAGATTCACATATCAAGACACAAATGCACTTTTAATAATGAGTTCTAATTTCTCCTTGAGATATTTCTTCATAGACATTTTCTGCTTTTTATTGTATCATTATATTGATCTGCTAAGAGCAAAAGTTTGCTTTGAGTCATTATTCTCCCAGGATTCTTATCAGAATATACCATGTGAATTACCTGCAAATATAGGCAGCTGGGGTTCAGAGCTGACACCAAACTATTTTTACGAATTCATGTTTCAAAAGGAAATTTTGCTGAACTACTTGGATGAATATAGTTTGAACCTGCTGTCTTAAACTGTTCCTTTAGACATAGTCTGACATTTTTAAATCTCTCTAACAATTCAATCTTGGAACTATTATAAAATCCCTTTTGCTAGAAGGAACTTCTTAGAATCAGCCACCTGCTTGTGAGAGAGCTTTAACATTTCCTAAACACAAAAGTTATCCAGTGGAAGTACAGCGTGGGCCATGTGAGTAATTTTAAATTTTGTAGAAGCTCACTAATAAAAGCAAAGAGCAAGTACAATCAGTATTAATGATATACTTTGACTCTATGTGTCCCAGATGTCATTTAATATATGATTAATGTGCGAACCATTGAGATAGTTTACGTTCTCTTTTCCTTATTAACTCTTCTAAGTCCAATGTGCATTTTACAGCATATCGCAGTTCACACTTGCCAAATTTTAAGCGTTCAGCATCATTAAGTAGCTACCAGCTATGGTATTAGATAGTAAAGTCTAGACCGTGGGTTTCTAAATTTTATTCTTTTAATTGTGGCATTGGGTGGTTGATCATAGACCATTCTGAGAAACAAATGGAAGTTATAGATTATTTTCCAGTGACAAAATATAGGCAGATACAAAATGTAATTTTCTATAGAACTTCGGGAAATTTGAGATTTCCTTATAGCCCATCCATGCATCCCCAAAAGATTCATGGAGCCAATTTAGAATATATATACATGTACATTGAAACATATGTATTGCATGTACATATAAAATGTGTATATTCACATTTATATATATGAACTATACACATAAATGTTTAATATATACATAGATTTTTATAAATTCACTTGTATACTACCTACAGATACATGGGTATAATCAACCAACTGTAGATGAGAAATATTTGGAAAAAATTGTGCCTGTACTGATTATGTACAAACATTTTTTGTTATTATTTCCTAAACATTACTATATACAGCTATTTACAACAACTATTTACATAGCCTTTACATTATGTTAGGCATATAAGTAATCTAGAGATAAAATATAGAGGAGGATGTGCATAGGGTATACACTAGTGGTGGCGAACCTATGGCATGTGTGCTGTAGCCGGCTGTTTGTTGTCATCACTGAAAGCTCTAGAAGGTTTGCTGTCACTGTATATACAAATACTATGCCATTTTACATAGGAGACTTGAGTGCAACCCTGTACAGACATATCTCAAAATACTTCTAATAAATCCTGCAATTAAAATATCTTTAGTGGGGTGCTTTCTGTACTGAAGAAGTTTTGAATGACCTAGTTTTCAAAATCTAGGAAGCATAAAATAAAATAGTTAATGCATTTGTTTAAGAGCATGCTGCCTATAAAGCTGGCCAATAAAACAGTGTATTGTACATTTCCACACTGAACACCATTCATAAAATGGATCCTGTCCTTCAAAGAATTATGTGATTGTAGTAAAAAGGCACCAAAATTATATATAAACAGCTATATTTGAAGAACATCTGTGAACATCATAGTGATCAACCAGGCAGAAGAGAAAATTCAACTTACACCAGTGATGAGATTCCTGAGTCCTAGTTGATTCTATTACCCCATGTTAATTAAAGATGTTCCTTGGCCTAATTAAAAACCCGTGGACCTGGTGACAGCATACTCAAGGAGCCCAGTCACTTGGGAGGCTCCATCCTTGCCACCAGTCTGGGGAAAACGTCACAAACTTTCCCTGGCAAAACACACCACTTGACTGCAATGAATTTTAGAAGTAATGAAAGCAAAATTACAGGGTCTACAAAAAGAACACAGAATTTGAGTAGTGGCGTTGCAGAGGTCAAACACGATTTTCCTCTTTGGGCTGTCAATCCCTGAATAGCTTAATTTCCATTGCGTACAAGTCGTATGCGGAGTAACATCCGATAACATTGTTCTTTAATCACATTTAATGCTTCCCAGAAACTTAATTGTGTCATGAATGATTTTTTTAAAAATTTTATTTAAGGAGAAAAAGGGGAAAAAAAGGGCACAAGTAATACAGAATTTCAAAAAAAAAATAAACAGTAGGAAACCACTACTTAATAGATCACATAGTCATCTTAGAAATAGTTGTTCAAGTTACAAAATTAAAGCATACAAAGTGGACAATGAATGATTTTTTTTTTAAGCAGTGTAGTGGTCACTTGAGACTCCAAGGTGGACCAGTTCTGGGCAGGCTGTCTCAGGAGATGTAGGACATCATAAAGCAGACCATACCATCTTTTTAAAAAGATGAACGTCTTATTGATACGATACTAAAATTCTGTTCTTCAAGTTGCCTCACTTTTTTAAAATGAAAACTTGCCTAGAAACTACAGCACTACAAAGGGAACAATGTGTATTAAGTCTTTTCTAGTTAAGAAAATTGCAAAAGCAGCTCCAAATGAGCTCCTTAGTTTATTCAGGTGGGGGAGTGTCCATGATTAGAATTTTTGAAAATGTACGGAGTTTATCTTGCTATGGGAAACTCAGGGAACTGTTTATTGTCCACCTGCTATATGCAAGATTCCTTTAGATATGAAAAATTGTGCAGATGGTCCCTGACTGCCCTTCTCTGCCATTTCTCATGAATAAGAACCACAGATACATCCTAGTGATTAGTAAAGTGGCAAGGAAGTCATTAGATACGCTCATCTGATTCTGTAACTTAATTAAAAACTCAAAAAGCTTTACTGTTTGTAGATCTCCTAAACCAAGTGGGCAGTTAGGTTATCAACACTACCTCTAAAAACTAGAGAGAAAACAAAGTCCTTTCTAGTGCTATCTCTAAAAGTGTTAGGGGAATCTTAAAATGTTACGGGAAAAGTGTGCTTAGAGTCCAATTATAGCTATGTAATTCATCTTTAATATCAGTCTTAATTTGAAAATTGCAAAGAAACTTACCCCATAATGTTATAATCTGACAATAAATGTTTTCAGAGGAGCAGGAAGATATATATTAAAAAGCATTTTTGCTTCTTTAATATTACATTTGCACACTCACTAATTTTTCTAAAAGTAAATGTATCTCTCACGCTTGCTTTTTCTGTAAGTTTGAGATTTTTCAGTATTAAAAACAGTTTTACTTTTGGGTGACTTTAGGAATGTCTGGAAATTCAGGGATCTTAAACTTTCCAAAACTTGTTCTTGGCAACAGTTTTGCAAACACTAGAAAAGAATATAATAAGCTCCCCACATACAAGTCAACCAGCATCAATAATTATGAACATTGGGCCAATCTTGTTTTACCTATTTGGATAGGGACAGCCCTGCCTATCACACACACACACACACACACACACACACACACACACACACACACACACGCATATTCTACCAGAAATGTTTTA